GTATAACAGGTCTGCACCTCCTAAAGAACTTCGTTCCAACAGACGGGAGTACCAGAATCGTTCAGTCGACCAATCATAAACCGAGCTTGGATGTCGCAAGGCTCGTTTTCCTTTGTTATAGGGCCTAACTGCAATTTCGATGACTGATATGGATGGGTGATAACTGATTATGGCCACTTTGACTGGACCAATGACAAGCGTGCTCACGACTTCGATAGCGTAGACCGTGATGTACCACACAGACAGCTCCTATGAAACATGAAGTCCACTTCTTGTTCTGCCTAATTTACACCCTAGGACACATTGACGAAAAGGAACACTTAAAATTTGACAAGGGTTACTTACAGGCAACACCGTAGTTTACTATAACATAATCGACTAGTTATTTTGTTGTAGTCTATTATTTACTTTGGTGATTAGCTTATTAGTTAGTTTTATTAGTCTGAGTTTTTTCTTATAAGGAACCTTTAGCCAAAATTCCTGTACAGTATAGCCGAACTGATTGTTGGTTAACTTCCAATCCGACGAGGAGACTGATAATTTAGGCTCACAGAAATCGAACAGATATGGCTTGTACTCCAAGCCTATTAGTGGCCAATTATTGAGTCCCCGTTATGTCGGGCATGTATCCAACCAGATTCCTTCAACTCTACAAAATTCTGCCGCATAAAAATGTAATTATACGCAAACTTAATATCAAACCACACACTACTGGATGGCTTTCAAACGGCCTTAAGAGATAGGATGTGCTTGAAATCACATATTATTCCACTTAAAGCATTATCTTACAGTCTCTATTTGCAGAAAGAGGGTTTTAATCCAGTTCCGGCAAGACGCTTTATGGAGGAGAGTTGAAATGCTTTTGCCGTCAAACTCCTCGTCTTCCATGCCTGAGCTATCGGTCTCGTGTAAAAATCCACTACAAAAAGATCATAGATACTATTAATTAGTTGAAAGAGGCAAGAATATCGTTAGACGAGACTACATAATTCGGTAGGGAAACAGTTACGCTTAAAAAGCGGCCGGCCTTGACAAGTTCTTCGTTAGATGCTCAGCGAACCGGCAATTCCAAGGGCTACCTGAATACTACGAGTTGTGATATAACTGT